GCACCAATCACCAACGTAGATTTCCTCGTAGGTCCCGGGAGATGAATATGTTTATAGGGTCTATTCTGAAGTCATAACAGCGGTATAGCGATACAATGTATCAGAGATGACATTATCCTACGTAGCAAAAGGGCCTGTGCAATTTTTGTTTCACGGGCCAATAACGAAAGGGTCTAACGGTACACTGGGGGTAATTTAAGTACATTTCTAGACTAACATTTGAAGGGGGCGGAAGAGCCAAAATGTAAACAAACCATATTTTGCCACATGTAGAGAGAATAGTTCACAAACTACTCGATAAACACGAAAAAGTAGAAGAAAATATTACTTCAAATCATCAAAAACGTTTCTTCTTACATGGCGTATTTCCAACTTTCAACTCTATGATGACTATGACTCGCCTTGCACCAGAACTACGAATTATATCGTTTTAATATGCCAAATGTTTTGATTCTGTAGTATCTAGTCACGCCCGATTCATTTTAAATGCATCCGATTGATAGTTCACGTGTAAACAACGAACAAAAAGAAGACCAAAAAATCTCCGGGCGTAATTCCACTCTCACAAAATTTGCGAACGAAGAACCAAGGCGGAACAACAAACAAAAAATCCCGAGGGTGTACTTCCACGGCGTATCACCAGTGTTGGCAGTTCAAATGGTGGAACATCGGGGGGGTAACAACATGTATAAAATTATCAGGGCGTATGATGTTTTCTTCTCAATTTCACGACAAAGAAAACTTTTTTTGAGTTTTTAGTGATGTATGATGATAGGTTACACTATTAACTATATGTAATGCTTATAAAATCAACCAGAAAATGGAAAGTCGTGAAATAGGATTAATTTTTAGGTCAACAAAATTCAGAAGCGATTTTCTCGATATGGTCATTTTGGAATTACGCCCTTTTCAAATGTTAGTCTAGATTTCTCGCTATACATTAATGGAGTTAATGTACTTAATTTAGCGACTTGTAATTAAAGCTGAAATTTGTACTTAAAAGTAATTAAATAAAAAAATTCCGACGCTCGTAATTAAAGCAACCGGTGAACACTCGTGTTTGTTTCAGTTACCGTTGGGACGTAATTTGTGATTAGCCCCGCTCCCTTTCAAATTGTATCATTATTTAGGTACGGTCCTTATATTTGAAATGACGTTTCACATTCATCTAGTGATGGCCGATTTTCATTTGAATAATCGAATTAACGGACCGAAATGTAAAATATTTGTAATCGGCTATCACCTCTATTCCCGTTTTCGTACGAACCGGATTCGTTCGAAACGAAAGCAATTTCCCATTCCCGTTTTCGTTCGAAGCAATTCTAACTTTCGAACATCGTTCGTTCGAACGATGTTGCTATTCCCATTTTCGTACGAATGCGTTTTTTTGTTCGCTTTCCAAACGTCACTCCAAACTCGCGAATCGCGAGAGAGCCACACGGTGTTTCGTGAAAACCCATTAATGGGTAAAAAAATACCCATTTTCAAACCATGTATGCAGCTGTCAAAAAATGGGGGAATTTTGAAATCATAAAATGGGTGAAAAAATACCCATTTAAAGAATCAGTTCACGGTTGAATAATGGGTATATTTTTTTACCCATTAATGGGTGAAAAAACACTTCGAAATTTTATCGTCTCATTTCCGTCACCGGCTCATTGGGAATGCAAACCTCGATGCAAACAGTTACTGTCCGCAGCAACGATCTCCGGAAAATGTTAGAATGCAAAACGTTGGAGAGGCTTACGGATAAGTCAATACAATGGATAATTTGTATTATAATGTTTCGTGAAAAATTTGAGCGGAACACCTGCATTTATTTTCAATGTTTTAAGAACATTTTTACATCAACGAGTGCTTGCATCCTCCATTTGTAAAAATGGGTATTTTTTCACCCATTTTACGATAAACACAATATAAGAAAATGGGTGAAAAAACACCCATTTATTGACAGACCACCCATTTACCCATTTATGAGTAAACCATAGTTTACCCATTAAATGAGGAGGGGCACTTTTAGCGGAAATGGGTATTTTTATACCCATTAATGGGTTTTCGTGAAACACCGTGCAGGGGATACAAACTTTGAATTTTTTTGTAATCCCTAATAAAAATGTTAATTTGCTTAACGACGAGTTCGGGGTTGATTGATTGATTTATCTCTAATAAGGAGGCTTTCAGCCTGAGGCTGGTTCGCCTCCAACGTGTTCGGGGTATCATCCAAACTATTTTTGGAATAGTTCAATCATTTGGGTTATCGTTCGTGTATGGTATTTTTTTATAAGGGATGGCCTGAGTGTACAAAAAAATCTACAACCAAATTTTTGGTGTTTGATTGTAATAATTTTACTTAAACTTACGTGAAGTTAAAGATCTCATATGGAAATTGATTGAAAAATCATGCAATAAAAATATAATTTAGATTAAAAAAGGATCGAAACAACTAGAAAATTTTGGACAAAAGCATTTATGTAATAGCTTACATAACAAATATTTATGCATTCAATTATGACTCAAAAACATTGCCATAGCCATATACAGTCAAGATTCCTATAGTGCGGATTCGTTCTTGCCGGATTCCTATAGTACTGATGCCACTGGATTCCTATAGTACGATCGATCCGGCATTAACGAATACACGTAGCATATGGGATTAAAGCTAATTGGGACCAAACACTGATTGTACGGCAATTTGAAGAGATAACTTCCTGATGTCTCTTGAGAAGTTGTTAAGCAGAAAGTTGGCCACCTTTTGGGACGATTCAGTTTCCGGTAGGACACAAGTCTGATCCTGTGGAAGATCCGGAATATCCGTAAAAGTGGCCGATTCATGAAAATGATCCTAGAGCTCCGCGGATTTTTAGAAACCACTCATAGACGTCTTATCAGAATGAGTTCGGAGTTATGACCGAAAAATTGACCCTGGGGACTACGGAATGGTCCACTATAATATCCGGAACATCCCTAAAAGTGTTCAATTCATGAAACTGATCCTAGAGCTCCACGGATTTTTTGAAACCACTAATAGACGTCTTATCACAATAAATTCGGAGTTGTGTTCGGAAAATGTACTCTGGGGACCATGGAATGGTTCACCGGAAGATCCGGAACATCCTGAAAAGTGGTTAATTCATGAAACTGATCCTAGAGCTCCGTGTTTTTGTTTAAACCTTTCATAAACGTTTTATTACAATTAATTCGGAGTTTTGACTAGAATTTGGACTCTGAGGACTACAGGATGGTCCACCGAAAGATCTGGAACAAGTTGTCAATTCATGAGACTGATCCATGAGTTTGCGAAACCACTCATAAACGTTTTATCAGAATGAATTTGGAGTTGTGACCGGAATATGAATGCTTAGACGGAAAATAGACCTTTGGGACCACGAGATGGTACACCAGGAAGATCCTCACGAAACGAAAATTAATTATTTTATTCATGTGTTTCACTTATACATTTTTGCCAAAAGATCAGCCTTATACATTCCATAAGGCAAACCAAATAGGTCCTACAAGAATGCATAAAAGGTATGTGTGACCGCTTATACATTTCATTTGACACATGAGCTTCATTAACTTTTTGCAAGGCGTCTGCTCATTAGTTGACTTATACATTTTATGAATAATCAGCAATAGAAATTTGCCAAAAAGTATAAGAAAATTTCTATCCGTGCTGAACATCCATAAAAGTCGTTTTTATGAAGACAAAAATATTAGCACCGAAATCATCACTTTTAGATATATGGTGTCTTGGGGAAAGCTTATTCGTATTTTTTAGCCGATTTGAAATTAGGGTGCTCCTTAAAATTGGTGAATTGAAAATTCAACCTTTTTTATTACTTGATATAGACTAATGCAGTTTTTTTTTTAAAGTTGTAGAACAATCAATTTGAACCAACTTTGCTCATGGCATCAAATTTTTATCTCTTATGGTTCATGACTTATGGTTATTTTAAACACGTAGGTTAGAGTCCCGGATAAAAATAACCATACAATTACCATAACATAAAATACAATTACAAGCAAACCTATTGGCCACAATCGATCTTATTGTGCGTATATAGTACACGAAATTTTAGCATATTGTTATTACATTAGATGTATAATACGTACTATTTAGTAAGAGTTTTCAACAATAGAACAACAATTCTGTTGGAAATTGCCAACAGATTGGGGGTCGGGATGATTTCCGTAATAATAATATCGAATGAAAACAACCGAGAATTGGGGTTTACGTTTTCTTATTTGGAATATTATTATTTTCCTGTAATTATTGTAATTATTCAGAATTAGATTTTAACATGGTGGTGGATTGCTTAATTTCTTTCATAACAATTAGCTAAAGATTTTGACCACTTACGTTTAGTCCCGTTGTGCGGATTCCTTGAATACCTTTTCGTTCGACTTGAAATAATCTCTTGCACGTACTACTCATCCGTACTAATAATCACTGCTCGCACTAGTCCGTACTATGAGCATTTAAGTTTAAGCATTTTAACTATTTTAAGTATTAGTTAAGTAGGAATTACCTTTTAATGATAAAATCCAGCTTGCATGCAAATTCAGGGGTTAGGAATTTCCGATCTTGACTGTAGCAAACTAATTAGCAAAACACTAGGATAATCAATTTGATTTTAACTGATAGAACTAATTTAAATTTCATGTACGTTACCAATTAGGTGATAATATCACTTTTAATATTAATATTAGCACAATTTCAAAGGCAATCGGCACGATCTTAGAGAAACTTTTACAATTCACTTGTGTACTTGTTGACTATTCAATATTTTTCTATCTATCTTTCCAACAATACAGTTACTCTCCCACTCTCCCATGTACTGCTGACTCAACACTACTACAGTGATACGACGAACTGTCAAGACCGGTGCGTATTGGGCGGTTGCGATGATGTACGCGATGGTCAATTCCAAGCTACAGTAGCGGCGCGCTGGTGTGAACGCGCCAACACTCCCTCCAGGTACGTTGACCACCCAGTCTACTTACTCCGTTCCGCGCCGCACGTCTAGCACGGCTATCTTGGCTACCGGACGTACGTAGATCCCGGTCGATGTCCTAACTGTTGCTGATCTGGGTTGGCCGTCTCGTCCAGGTTGGGTACATATGATCCTGCCTTTCGGCCAGCAGTTCCGTGGCATCTTCGGGTCAGCTATGACCACTATATCGTCGACCTCGATCGGCTTCGTATGGATGAACCACTTAGTACGGCGAGTTATCTCAGGCAAGTAGTCGCTTACCCAGCGCTTCCAAAACAGGTTGGTTTGGACTTGAGATAGTCGCCAATTTTGGCGCAGCACGGCACCACTGTCATCGAGGGTGCAGAGCGGCTTGATTCCATTGGATGCCCCGAGTAGGAAGTGGTTGGGCGTCAAGGCTGGAGCTGAGTCGTCATCAACAGGAACGTGCGTCAGTGGGCGGGAATTCACCGTGTTCTCGATTTCGGTCAGCAGGTTCCGTAATACCTCGTCCGACAGCTTCCGTGCTGGTAGGATTGCCATCAGGTTCTTTTTGACGGAACCGATCAAGCGCTCCCAGCTGCCGCCCATGTGCGGAGAAGAGGGAGGCAGGAACTCCCAGGTTGTTCCAGCATCCACGAACTCCCTCATCAGTTCATTTTGGTTGACTGATTCCTCAGCTTCCGTCATCTCCCGCTTTGCACCAATGAAATTGGTACCTCGATCGCTGTAGATCGCCCGTGGTTTTCCTCGGCGGGAAATGAAGTTTCGCAGCGCCATGATGCAAGAATCGGTGTTGAGGGAGTGAACGACCTCGATGTGAATTGCGCGAATTGTGAGGCAGGTAGCGAGCATTCCCCAGCGTTTCTCGACTCGTCGACCTATGACGATCTCGTACGGACCGAAGTAATCAACGCCAACGTGGGTGAATGGGCGTTCGAAAGCTGCAAGTCGTGCAGCAGGCAGGTCAGCCATGATTGGCGGGCGCGGGATCACTCGGTCATTCTTACAGCGTTGGCAGTCACTTCGCACTTTTGTGTAGGTCATGCGAAGCTTCGGTATGTTGTATTTTTGTCGTATCTCGTTGATCACGGTCTCGTGATTCTGATGGTGGTATTTTTGGTGGTAGTGTGCAACGATTAACTTGGTGGTGTGGTGGTCACGGGGAAGTATTGTGGGGTGTTTAGCATCTTCGGTTGCGTAGAAACAAGCGGCGATGCGGCCGCGCATCCTCAGGATTCCGTTCTGATCCAGCCATGGCGTCTTCTGGTGTAGCGGACTTGGCTTGGGGATCGGAGTTGATAGTTGATCCGAGCATTGTTGTGACTTCTGAAGGACTGCTATTTCTTCCGGATAGGCTTCCTGTTGTGCTACGCGAATGAGATAGGATTCGGCGGTGAATATTTCGTGGTTGGTGAGAGGTCCGCTTACGATCGGTTCCTGGAGGCGCTTCAGTTTGCAGTTGGCAGGAAAACGATGAGCTAGAGCAACCACTTTCACAAGCCGATTCCAGTCTGAGAAATCACTTGAACAGACTATTGGTTTCGGAGCGATGAAGTGAGTTAATACGCTACGGCGAAGTTCGAGAACGGCTTCATTTGAGCTAGTAGATGAGTCTGGCCAGTCAGTTTCCGGGTGCTGCAAGAACTCGGGCCCGGTGAACCATCTCGTCTCTGAAGCCAGGCTAGGAAGTCCTTTCCATTTCGTCCCATCATCCGCTACGTTCAAATCTGTAGGAACGTATCTCCATTCATTCATCTCCGTGGTGTCCAGGATCTCGCTAACTCGGAACGCGACGAACTGGGAGTAACGTCGGTGGTCAGATTTGATCCAGCAGAGTACGTCTTGGGAATCCGACCAGTAGTGACGACGAGAGATTCGGAATGACAGTGCATCTGATACGGATTGTGCTAGCCTGGCGCCAACCAATGCTGCTTGAAGTTCCAGTCTAGGTGTTGAGAGAAACTTCAATGGAGCGACTCTGGTCTTAGCTGCTACTAATCTGCATTCTACGAAGTCATCTTGAGCGAAGCGCAGGTAACAGGCCGCAGCAATTCCGTTATCTCCAGCATCAACAAACGTATGGAGCTGGATGTCTTTACAACTGGGAGAGGTTCGTGCACGGTAACATCGAGGAATGCTGACTCGTTCAACCTGCGGGAGCACTTGCAGCCATGTTTGCCACTTGTCGAACAGCGCATCGTCGATTGCATCGTCCCAGTCGATACCGGAACGCCAGACGTCTTGAAGCAGCACCTTCAGGTACATGAGGAAATGCGCGATCAGTCCGAGCGGATCAAACATAGACATAAGAACACGTAACATTTCCCTCTTCGTTGGGTGTCGTTGACCTTTCAATAGCGCTTCTCCATAGCGAGTCCATCCGACCTTGTAGGTAAAGGTATCCGAATCAGTACACCACCACATTCCGAGCACTTTCTCGGTGGCTAGCTCCAGTGACAGATCGAGGTTTTTCTCATCTGTATGTTCTTCTTGCAGATCCCGCACAACGCGTTTCGAGTTGCTTATCCAGTTGCGGATCTCGAATCCGCCTTTCGAGTGCACCTCCTTCACCTGTTGCGCAAGTCGAAGCGCTTCATCTTCGGTCTCAACGCTTACCAGCATATCATCGACGTAATGCCGCTTTTGGATGACTTCAACTGCTGCTGGGTATGCTGCTTTGAATCGTTCCGCGTTTATATTCTTGACGAACTGAGCGCTGCTAGGCGAACAACAGGCTCCGAAGGTCATCACCTGCAAGATGTAGACCACGATGTTACCTTCCTCGTCGTACCAGAAGAACCGCTGGCAGTGCTGGTCTTCCGAGCGCATGAGGACTTGTAAAAACATCTCACGCACATCTCCAGTGAGCGCGATTTTGCCTTCCCGGAACTGGAGCGTGCAGTGCGCAAAGCTGATCAGGACCTTTTAGTAGAGCCGAATTTAACGATACTCCGTACACAGAGGCAGCGGCGTCCCATACGATTCGGATTTTTCCCGGCTTATTGATGTTAACAACCGGAAAGGTAGGCAAATACCAGACCCGATTAAATGGTTGCTTTAGCTCCTCATCGGTGAGTCTTCTAGCGTATCCTTTCATGACGAAATCGGCGATTTTCATATTGAGCGCTTCAGCAAGCTTTGGGTCCTTGTCCATTCGCTTCTTGAGGCACTGTAGCCGGCGTAGAGCCATCGGGCGACTATCTGGTAGACGAATATTGTCGTAGCGCCATAACAGGCCGGTTTCGTAACGGTCTCCTTTGAACACGGTGCGAGATTCCAGCAGGGACTTAGCTCGTTCATCTTCTGCAGACAAAAGCGCTCTTCTCGGCTGCGCAACTCCCAAGCTATCAATTGCAAAATATTCTTTCATCGCCTTGTGTAGATCTTCATCCGTTTGTGATTCGCATGGGCACACATGGAAAACTGAGTGCACCAGATTACTAGCATCGTCTTGGTTTCCTCCTCCGCAAACTGTCCAGCCTAGTCTGGTTTTCACGGCGATCGGTTGGTTTCGTATACCCTCTCGGCTCTTCAGGACTAGACTGAGGTGTTGATCCTTCATACCGATCAGGATTCTCGGCCGAACATCTTGATACGAGGCAATCGGCAAATCCTTTAGATGAGGATACAGTTTACGAAGTTCCTCTACGTTGAGCGTTTGTGATGGAAGCAGAAGTTCATTAACTGTGCGCACGCCGTTCAAGGTGTACTTCTTGGTGGGGCAATGCGTTGCTGCCACGTCCAGACTTACTGCCTTTGAGTTGTTTTCTCGCCGTTGCGCTCCACCTGTCCAGTGTAAACACAGTGGTTTTCTCTCCCCTTCAAGCTGCAACTCCTTGGCTAAATCTTTATCTAGAAGTGTGAGTGCTGATCCGTCATCCAGGAAGGCGAACGTCTTGATAGAACCGTATTTTCCTTGAAGTACTACCGGCAAGTAGCGGAATAGAACCTGACTGGACGTAACCTGATGTGTATGGCAGCCGTGTCCCGACGTACTTGTTCCTGGTTGAGCAGGATCACTGCGTTGTGTGGTAGGTTTGTTCGAGGTACTGGGTGCTGTATCCTTGAACGGTAACGTGTTCTTCTGATCGTTGTGTAGCAACTCGTGGTGTTTTAGCTCGCACCCACTCTTCCCACACAGCTTGGCTTGACATCCTCCATTGTGTCGGCGCAAACATCTCCGACAGAGGCCGAGATCTCGCACTGTAGCCCAGCGTGAGTCACGAGAGAACTCTATGAAGCTCTTGCATTTGGCGATCCATTTGCAGGTTCCCTTGCATACTGGGCAGCTATCGTGAACCACTTTCGATCTGGATGACGATGTGGTGCGGGGATCCGATACAGATTCTTCTGAGTGTGCGTTGACAAAGGAATTCCCTTTCTTATTTCCACGAACATCGCTTCGAACTGGTTTGGGATCGAAGCTGGTGTTTGGAACAATCACTGCGCTGGCGGCTTCCGCTAAAGAATAGAGCCAGGTGCTGAACGACGGAAGGTTGACCGTTGGAAGAGATTGCCTATATTGAGCCCAATTCAACTTGATAGAAGGCGGCAGCTTGTTGACGAGTTGATGAAGAAAGGTTACGTTGTAAAGATGCTCCTCCAGTCCACACGCGTCCACTGTCGCACAGAAGTTTTCTACGTTGACTGCAAAGTCAACGAGCGTTTCCAATTTATCCTCCTTCAGCGCTGGGAGCGAGTTGATCTTGGTAATCATCGAGTTGACAATCACTTCAGGTTGCCCGAACAGCATCCTTAGAGTCGACATAACTCCGTTAACATTGGCAGGATGCATCAGCCGACATCTCACCGATTCGTACGCTCGACCCTTCAAACTTCGCTGCAAACGAACTATATTTTCCTCGTCGGTGAACCCGCACATTGCTGTAGTGCTGTTGAAGGTAGAGAGAAAGAGAGGCCATTCCTCAGGATTCCCAGAAAACATGGGCAGATCCTTCGAGATAGCTTGTCTTGCAGCTAGTTACTTTCGAGTAAGCGGACACGGATCGAAATCTTCTTCGTCGCGATCGTGAGGACGACTGAATCTCCTAGGCGGAAAATCTGGATAATTCTGTGGAGTACCCTGAACTGGAAACGGCATAGGCATCGGAGGATCCGGGTTGGGATCGAAGCCTGGGTGCGAAGGAATCGGTTCTGGTTCCGGGTGTCGTGGAACACGTACCGGTCGTGGATTTCTTGGAACAGGATCTGGAACAGGTCGTGGTGATTCTGGACGCCGCAGATCAGGATTCGGATATAATTGTTGTGGAATCTGGAGCAAGCGTTGAGATCCACGATTCGGAACTACCTTTGGAGCACCAGGAGTTGGGACCGGGCGCATACGATTCGGTGTCGATACCGAACGAGGATATCCTGGATCCGGAAAAACTCCTAACGGTTCTGGAATCGGGAACGGCTGCGGATAATTTACAGCTGGAACATGCCTCGGCGATTTATGCGGTAGAACCGGACGTAGAGGAGTAGGATTCGGAGCCGGCATTGGATGTTCTGGAATCGGGGACTGTTGTCGAGGATTTGGAATCGGGTCCGGTACTGGAAATGTTACCGGATGGCCTTGAACGACGGCTGTTTGACCATCGGGGCCAAGCTGATTCTCCTCTTCTGGATCTTGCTCTGGATCTGAAGCCTCTTCCTGATGTTGCTCTTCCACCCAGTTCTTCATGCGACTTAATGACACGATGCTACTCGAATCATCCTCACTTAAGGCTTCCTCCAGCAGTTGATATTTTTGTTCTAAATAGGCCTTTTCTTTCCTTGCTTCTTCCGCTTCGATTTCTCGTTTCAGTTCCGCTTCCCGCAGCTCAATAGCCCTCAACTCGTCCAGCTTCTGAAGTTTCAGCTTCGCGAGGGCTTGTGAGGAGCGACTCGATGCAACAGACGTTTTCGATGCGTTTCGCGATGAATTCTTCTTCTCGCCAACTTGCCACTGCACAGTTGTGACGGATGGAGCCGTCGACCGCTTTCTATGACCACCACTTTCTTGAGGACAGACTGCACCAGAAGTTGAACTTGTTGCCTGGACACCTTTCGCGGTTTCGCATTTGGTACAGCTCCAGGAATAATTCTCGACTTGCTGCGTGACTCCGACACATTGGAAATGATGCCATTTCAGGCAATCGTCGCACCTCACCATATCATCTGTGTCTTCTCCTCGGCACACCTGACATGTATGGCCGGGATGGGACTCCTCCGGATCTTCCGTGACCACCGTTTGCACACCATCATTTGCACTTTTCACCACTTCCCCAGACTTGCCCGACTGTTTCGACCGTAAACTTCGACTTGACATGACCGGATTTCTACGCGCTTATTTCGTGTATAAACGAAAATAATAATTTGTTGGAAATTGCCAACAGATTGGGGGTCGGGATGATTTCCGTAATAATAATATCGAATGAAAACAACCGAGAATTGGGGTTTACGTTTTCTTATTTGGAATATTATTATTTTCCTGTAATTATTGTAATTATTCAGAATTAGATTTTAACATGGTGGTGGATTGCTTAATTTCTTTCATAACAATTAGCTAAAGATTTTGACCACTTACGTTTAGTCCCGTTGTGCGGATTCCTTGAATACCTTTTCGTTCGACTCGAAATAATCTCTTGCACGTACTACTCATCCGTACTAATAATCCCTGCTCGCACTAGTCCGTACTATAAGCATTTAAGTTTAAGCATTTTAACTATTTTAAGTATTAGTTAAGTAGGAATTACCTTTTAATGATAAAATCCAGCTTGCATGCAAATTCAGGGGTTAGGAATTTCCGATCTTGACTGTAGCAAACTAATTAGCAAAACACTAGGATAATCAATTTGATTTTAACTGATAGAACTAATTTAAATTTCATGTACGTTACCAATTAGGTGATAATATCACTTTTAATATTAATATTAGCACAATTTCAAAGGCAATCGGCACGATCTTAGAGAAACTTTTACAATTCACTTGTGTACTTGTTGACTATTCAATATTTTTCTATCTATCTTTCCAACAATACAGTTACTCTCCCACTCTCCCATGTACTGCTGACTCAACACTACTACAGTGATACGACGAACTGTCAAGACCGGTGCGTATTGGGCGGTTGCGATGATGTACGCGATGGTCAAACCCAAGCTACAGTAGCGGCGCGCTGGCGTGAACGCGCCAACAAATTCAATTGATGGTAAATGGCTCAAGTTTGTTCGGGAAAAAGTGATTTTTCGTATGGTTAAGATGCATAACGACCCCCTTGTTCCATTGTATATTACCCCATTTACCATAGATTCTGTTGTGGACACAATACATTCTATTGTTATTTTATCTTTGTGGAGAATAAGATTTATTGTAAATACAATGAACTCTATTGTATGGTTACAACACATTTCATTGTACCTCTACGGTTCTTTTTTTTACGGGGTGGCCTCTAGAAAATCTTTCTTTAAATATTTTTATTGGTGATCAACGTATAAACAATATTTAAAGAAACCTGATTTTCTAGGGGCCACCCTAACCTCTCGTAAAACATTATTCTAAATACTTTTAGAACTTTTTATGACGCATATTTTTGCAGAAGTCACTAATTTGCATTTCCTTTATTTAAAAGTTATGGCTAGTTTTTGATAAAAAAAAGATTTTTTTAAAAATTAAATTAAATACTTTAAACAAAAAACGCTCTCACAGTTTTTCCACAAATACTGAAAAAAAAACACGATCTTTTAAATGAAATCGAAAGTTTGAAAATCGGTTTGCTCCATTTAGAGACATTGTCATTTTAATAGAACCATTTTTTCGAAGAAAATCTCCATTAATTTTATAAAAAAAAAATGGCAGCCTGGTTGCTTTACCAAAAATATGCGTCATCATAAGTTCTAAATGTAACCAAAACAAGGTTTTTACTAGAAATGAACTTATGAAAAGATATTCGAAGAAATCTGTTTTTTATGGGCCATTCTAACCTGCTTGTTTAAAAAATCATAACTCATGAGCCTTAAGAGATAAAAATTTGGTGTCTTGAGCAAAATTGCTTCGAATTGATTGCTCTACAAGTTTTAGAAAATTGCATTGGTCTATCTCAAATAATTAAAAAAAAAGTATGTATTATCAAAGCTACAATTTTGTGGACCACCCTAATTTCACTAACATAAAAAGATCGGCCAAACAATATGAAGAAACTTTCCCGAAGACACTATATACCTAAAGCTGACGGTTTGGGCGCAAATATTTTTGTCTTCCTAAATACGGCTTTGGGACCATTGTGCAGTGGATGGTCCTCCGAAAGATCCGAAACATCCGTAAAAAGGCTCAATCGATGGAACTGATCCAAGAACTCCGTTTTTTTCGTAAACTCTCATAGACGTCTTATAATTATGAATTCTGAGTTATGATTGGAAAACAGACCCTGGAGACCATGAACGCTCCTCTGGAAAATAATAGACAACTCATCAGAATGAACTCGGAGTTGTGACTGGAAAATGGACCCCAGGGTCCATTGGATGGTCCTTCGGAATATCCGGAACATCCATTAAAGTGGATAGGTTAAGAAAACTGATCTAAGCACTCTATGGTTTTTCAGAACTGCTCATAGACACATTTTTTTTATTTATTATCATGGATGATTTCTAGGTGGTATTTAAGTAGTTAATAACTTCTAGACACTTTTAACGGAATTTTTGATGATCTTCCGGATCTTTTAATGGACCATCCCGTGGTCCCCAGTATAAACTGTCTGGTCAAAACTCCGATTTTATTGTGATAAGATGTCTATAAGTGCTTTCTAAAAAATCGTGGAGCTCAAGGATCAATTTCATGAATTGAGCATTTTTAGGGATGTTCCGGATCTTCCGGTGGACCATTCTGTAGTCTCCATATTCTTATTTCTGAACACAACTCCGAATACATTCCGACAAGACGTTTATGAGTGGTTCCGAAAAATCCGTAGAGCTCTACGATCAGTTTAATGAATTGACCACTTAAACGGATGTTCCGGATCTTCCGGTGGACCATCATGTAGTCCCCAGAGTCCAAATTACATTCTGATAAGACGTCACTTTTCTGATGTTCCGGATCTTCCGGTGAACCATCTCGTGGTCCGCAGGGTCCATATTCCAGTCACAACTCCGAATTCATTCTGATAAGACGTTTATGAGTGGTTTTGAAAAAACCGCGGAGCTCTAGGATCAGTTTCATGAATTGACCACTTTTACGGATGTTCCGGTTCTTTTAGTGGACCATCCTGTAGTCCCCAGTGTCCATATTTCGGTCACAACTCCGAATTCATTCTGATAAGACGTTTATGAGTGGTTTCTAAAAAACGCGGAGTTCTAGGATCAGTTTCATGAATTGACCACTTTTACGGATATTCCGGATCATCCACAGGATCTGACTTGTATCCTACCGGGAACTGAATCGTCCCAAAAGGTGGCCAACTTTCTGCTTAACAACTTCTCAGAAGACATCAGGAAGTTATCTTTTCAAATCAGTGAGATTTTCAAATTTTCAACCAAAAAATTTCAACAATGTTATTGTTTTGTTGACATCGTTTGACAGTCCACTTGACCGAATAATGTCAATTTCGTGCGCGGTCTATGCTTCGAATTGTTAAGAAATGTCAAAGTGCATCTGGTACCACTAACACTGTTTATTTTCGAAAAAGCTTGCGTTCGAACGGGTTCGTACGAAAACCAGAATGCCGTTTTCGAACTCGTTCGAATCGAGTCGTTCGTACGAACGAACGATTCGTACAAAAACGGGAATAGAGGTGATTAACTTCTCCAGAGGATCATCACCGACAGTGTTGGAAAAGTTCGCGATATTTCACGAAGTTCACCAAGGGAAAAGTTCGCGAGTCATAGGGAACTTTGATGAACTTTTCATTGGTGGAAAAATTACAGCACAGTGAACAAAAAATAACCGATTAGTTGTTAATCGAGTAATTAAAAAATGCTTTTGGTGTGACTGTTTTGATCAAAAAGAGCGCCAAATTTCATCTCTACCAAGGGGGCAGCAAAACCACAAAATTACCTTGCATACGGGGGGTATTCATTGGATGAAAGGGACCATGAAAGAGGACACTATAATAGAAAGTTTTTCTTCCGACAGTTTCATCGTAGTATTCTTCTTTGATTAAAGTAATTAATCATGTAGTTAACTGTAATTATTGTACTTAAAAAAAGCTGGCGTAGGAGTTAAAGGTTATTGCCTCGGTTATTGCATGCCCCTCGCGTGCGAGCTCGCGTGGGCCTTAACTGTAATAAACTGTTTACCCATTTTTGAGTAGGTTCAGTTGTGACCGATCTGGGTGGATTCTACCCAAATTTGGGTTGGTTTGAAATAGCGTGTGTACAGCGTAAAGCGCCTGTATTTAAAGGCCAGCGCACACTGGATAAGTTTTCGGGGTTTTTGACAGCTAGCCCATGCATTATCTGTCAAAAAACCCGGAAACTTATGCATTGTGCGCCAGCCTTAAATTAGAGTCGATGCCGAATCCAGGGTGGCCAGACCTACCGATTTATCGGTAGTCCTACCGATTTTCGGGGTGCCTACCGATTCACAGACGAAAGGTTCAAAACTACCGATATTTCACTTTTCCTACCGAGAATCACAGATTTTTAGATTATAAATAGAAAAATTGATTTCGACAAAGTTAAATCAGAAGATCTGAAGGACAGTGTATTGTTCTGGAGCACAGAGTATTCCAGCCCCCCACTCATAAAAGTGTCAAGTATCGGGAAATCCTTCTTAAGTCGACCTACCGATAACTACCGATAAAAGTTTTGAGAAGCTACCGATAATGAAAAAAATAATCTGGCCACTCTGGCCGAATCTACCTTAAATCAGGTTCTTTAGTGCTGCGCATGCTGCGATCAAGTTGAGAACGTGTTTGTTTTTTTTTTAAATAAATCAAGTTTCTGAATACCTAGTTCGGCGAATTAGACTCACCGCTTGTAAGTTTTCTGATGTGTGTATCCGTCATTACAGTTCCTTATTTCTGTTCTTTTACCAGTCTTCTAACACAGATATTGGTATTCAGTCCGCTAAGCACAAAACAAACCCAGCCTCAGACGGGAGTTCGAAAAAAAAAACGATTGAAACTGTGCTTTGAAAATGTGGAACTCGCACATTATCGCTAAGCTCCTTGCCAACGAGCAGCAGCAGCAGGAGTTTCAAGATGATAACAAAATGTTCATGCAGCTGACGATCACCCGCTACTTGATAGAAGCGTTTACCAAGAATCCTCATCTGGCCGATGGTGATATGTTTGCCTATCGGGACTACGTCCAGTGCAATGTACCACGGCTGGTAAGTGAGGAGGAAGAGCGGAACGCAGATTCGCCCAAATGCAATGTCCGGGCTGCCAAGGCACGACAGGAAGGGAACAAGTTGTATCTGAAAAAGAACTACCTGGAGGCACTGGAGAAGTACAACGAAAGCATCTGCTGGGCCCAGATTGATTCAGAGGATCTGGCGATTGGGTATGCTAATCGGTAAGTTTAAGGACGGTAGGCGGAAATTCAAAAAGGTTAAACCTTTTTTTTTCTTTTCAGATCGGCTATCTACTACGAAAATGAAGAATACGAATTCGCCATGGCCAATATTGCTCTAGCCAAGAGGCACAAATATCCGGAACGGTTGATGCCGAAGTTGCAAGCCCGGGAACTTCGCTGCAAGGGTAAGATCGACGCCGGTGAACACAAAAGTTCTACACAATGTCCGAAGCTGGTTCTTAACGTTGAAGCGAACCCCAAAATCCCTTTCGTGGCACGGGGAATCGCGATGAAGGAACTGCCACATTTTGGAAGGAGCATGGTGGCTGAGAGAGATTTCAAGGCGGGCAGTGTGATTCTGTGCGAGAAACCCATGATGGTTTCTATCAGTCCGGAAGCAAAGTATAAATTATGCCAGTCCTGTTCGTCGGAGAACTTTTTGTCGTTAATCCCATGTCCGCATTGTGTATCCGTAATGTACTGCAGTGAAGAGTGCTGGAAAAAGGGTTGGGAGGTTGGACATCGGTTCGAGTGTGGAATATACGACAAACTGGCTAGCATGCCGTTCGATGAATGTCAAATGGGGCCAAAGATGCTCTTCTACGGATTGACATTGTTCAATGACGACGTGAAGAAGATGAGGAAGTACTGTAGATCACACGGTCGAACCGGAAGTAATCCATTCGATTTGGACTACACCAAGGAAAATCCTCTGGATGCATTCAAGGTATTCCATACGGCCAAAATGCAACCCCGTGGGCACACTCTGGACAACGTTTACCGGTTGGTTACGGCGATTTTGTACACCATCTACATCCAACAGCCTTTGATTCGATCGCTCTTCGTCACCAAAACGCAACAAAACTTTCTGTTGAAGTGTATCTTCGAATATTCAATCGTGGTCAATCGTCTGATCGTTGTACGGGAGCCCTCCATTGATCTACTGCACACGGTTGCATCCGTATGTAATCACTCCTGCGACCCAAACACTCACGTTATGTATCGCTCATCTCAACTGAAGTTCGTTGTGATTCGTCCAATCTGCAAGGGTGAGCAAATTTGCATCTCGTATGGCCCCATCTGGGGAGAAACTTGCGCATACGAACGGTACAGGAAATTGTCCATATTTGAGATTGACTGCGCGTGCGTGGTGTGCAATCCGAATACGTTCCGGAACTGGCTGATCAATAACAAGCAGCAGTCGCCCGCCTTCCACAACAATTTGTTTGTAATGAAGAAGGTGCTGCTGAACGAGACCTTCAGCAATGCGGACAAGATGAATGCACTGCAGCAATTCATTCAACGGTACGGCTACGTCCATCCGCTGCATCTGTTTCGGCAAATTCTGACCATGTATCGTGAGGGACTTTCGGTGGTCTTCGCAAACGAAGTAATGTTTGCGATGCGGGAGAGAATCTTCGCCAGTTTGAATTGATTTTAATGTTGTTTCTCACTACTTCATGACTCGTTGTTTTTATTGAATTCTCTTGTTTATTTTTTAATTAACTCTTGTTTCTTCTTGTTTTTTTTTTATTTTTTTATTTAACTTGACAAATAAATGCTTGAACTTTTATTGACAGTATTATACTTGTTAACATCGTTTTCTTTCGCAAATTGGTCCTGTTCGTTCATCATCAATCAACCTTCGATTCAAGCCAATTCTGGAGCTAGTCGACATTGCCTGCGATTCCAATGTAACATCCACAAGTTTGTTGATTTGATACTTATTACACGAACAGTAACCCCTCCGTAAATGCGGTAGGTGGTACCGTACCATAAACTATCTAAATTTCTGCTCTTTTTCGGGTGCGATTAACGGTGACCTGTGGGTAGTGGGGTCCTGGTCCGGGATGCGAGGACCCGTCGGGGTGGGTGTCCGGGGGTTCCAGTTCAGTGGAACCGGTGAAAATTTGTTATATTAGCGTTGTTTTGTCGTTTCTGCCACTGGTCTGTATACCGGTTTCTTTCTACGTGCGGTGTCGGAGGAGGATCCGGAATGGATTCAGAATGCATTTCGGATTTTCGTTGTTCTTTCGAAGTCACGTGTGGAGGAGGATGATATAGCGATCGGCATCAGAAACGACGGAGTAAAATTGATACTGTGGGGCTCCGCCGGTTTTGTCGAGCTGGTTTCCGGATCCATCTTCGGTTTTGCCACTTTCGGGCCGTTTTCTGTTGAGTTGAGTAAAGCTGGGGCAACTTTTTCCAAATGTAACTAGAAGGAAATGAAAAGGCATGACACACTAAAAACCGTTTACCCAAAACCTATATTGTTGAAATAAACATGCTTTTGAATTGAATTCAAACATATATATTTTAGTTTTAAACGTGCTTTCCATTTACTTCGAATAATTCATTTGTTAGAGTATAAACATTTACATTTTTTTAAATGAACAAAATTCGTATCCGTGATGGAGGGGCGAATGAGTACTGTCATAAAATCTAGCACCCCGTCCCCCTATGCCTCATGAGTGGACGTCATATTTGAATCGCCCCTACGCTTTCTATTCGAATTCCGATAGATAAATTAGAGCTTTGTGATATTAATATACCTAATAATTAAATTCTGGAGTGCATTTTGAATAGGTCATATGTAACAAACGTTAACAAATTGACATTTTAATTCTACCAGACACTACTGTGCTTACTCCTCGGCTTACTCTTTCTAAGGCTACACCATTTCTGTTTAATTTTCTTATCAAAAAACTATTTGTCGTATGTGCCAATTGATCAAAACATAGCTCAATGTGACATACGACACCTAACTTCTATGGGGGTGTCAATTGTCGTATGTATCAGTTTTTTTTAATAACAAAAAATATAACAAATTTGGCACAAGCGTAAAAAGTGTTCATTATTAATATGTGTATTAATAAAAGTGCAAATTTAGCAAACCTTCAATGTAATCCGGTTGTTGGTGTTATATAAAATGTTAACTACGATTTCCGTGAGGTATTACTCATTATAATACATTTTTTAACCACTAAAATGCGGACGGTCGTGTTAAATGCACTGCATATACAAAAGGTCGTTTAATATTGATTGGTTGAAAAACGTTTGTTTTTCAACATGAACGCTATCAGTACCTTGCTCAGTCAATAGCGGTACTCCTGAGAGGTTAGTTATTGTGTATTTACTCGAAAGCTGGATTTTATCGGTTACTCCTGTAGGGCTGCCAAGTAATCGTTTAATTACGAGGGATATGTGAACGATAAACAGAGTTTTCAAATTTATGGATTATTTCTTCTTTTCAGCTCCCACATAAGTCCTTCAAATAAATAGAATTTTCAATATATTTTTACACTACGTAAACTATGGTTGAAAATAGTTGTTTAGTTTATACTTATCTGATTTAATGAATTTTTTAATGTTTAGAATGGACAAATCTGACAGCCCAGACTCTGGAGACGAGCAGGAAGAGGGGAACTACTGCAACGTGGAATTTTTACATCTAGATAGTGCATCGGATCTTCTGTCAGAACGTCATCCCAGTTTTGAAGAATCTTCGGTTGAAAACCCCGAAGCAACACTGCAAGATGGTGCTGGATCCAGTTTTTCCGAGCAGTCGTTGTCCCTGAAAAGCACAGCTATGGAATTCAATGTAGCAGTGAATCTTTCAGCGAAGGAATTCAAGAAGTACGCTTTTCATTTTGTTGGTGTGTTTTACGTGAGATGTTTCAAAACACAACGATTGGCCGATCCAGTATACTCGAAGAACGTTGTTGGAAACACCATTGAGGAACTGTTCCAATGCTTATGGCAGGAAAGCTGCTCTCATGTTTCTCGTGAAGTGGTGGTAGATCATACACGGGAAAAAAAGAGTTCCCATATTCGTGTATACACAGGAAGAAAAATCTGTGTATTGGTCCACAAATGAGAAGCCGAGTTTGATCGATATCAACAAATTTGTTGTACTCCGTCATCAAAAAACCAAGAAGCTGTATTCGATAGATGATTTGCGTGAAGGCTCGAAGATTTTGACCAGTTGGCGAGGAAAACGCATTCAAATTCATATCTACAAGTATTCGACGTCAGTTACATCGAACACCATTTGGGGATTGGTGGATAAAAATTTACTACGACCGGGTAAAAAAGATCGTGCTGGTGCCCCCACAACGGAAGAGCTGTTTGCTTGCATCAGCAAGCTGAAAGAGGTACATTGCCATTACACAGCATTGTATTCGTCCTGGGCAAAGTGGGCGAATTTCATCCTTTCACAACCAGGAGATCAACATTCGAAACTAGTCAATGAAGCTCCGCCAGATGAATATCTACATCTGTTCCGGGCACCACCCATTTCAGAAAGAAGCCAACTGCAAGTCACTCGTCGAGGAAATCAAATTGTATTCAGCGTATGCGACAGTATGTCATCAGATGTTAACCGGCTGTGTGATGTTGTCGATGTGCTCGCAAAAGAGGTGAATAATGTTCAAATGCTAGCCCATCAGTTGAAGGCTAAAGTTGACACTTCTCTCTCACTTCTCAATGCAATGCAAAGTTCAATGCCACCAGAGGAATCGGAATTCAGTAAGAAATTAGCTTCTTTAGTCGGTGATATGGTTGACGTTGACCATCAATAATAAGACTTTTTGGCTTACATAATATGTATGCAGTGTTCAATGAATAAAAAACCAATAATATCAGTATCAACAATATATTTCATTCAAATTATTTCATTTTGATCTGAACTTTGGCCATTATGTACTTCTCATGATCTGCTTACAGAAGGGTTGAATGTTCCTCCTGGAAGAAAACCGCACTTTTTAAACAGATTCGTACAATCATAGTTGGTGAATTTTGTGAGAGCAGCCCCGATAACTAAAGACAATTGAATGTTTTTGTTTTCCCTGTAGTGACGCCTTACATATCGCTTAATTAATCCAAACACTATTTCAATGGGGTTGTAGCATGGACAATAAGGGGGAAGAAAAATTGGAATAATTCCCAGGGAACGTAAGTATTGTATGATATGCTTATCGCAATGTATGCTTGCACCATCCATAATCCAGACAGAGTACTGACCAGGGTATGATCTAACGTTCCCGTTCATCAGAGCCATCTTTCTGCACGCATCGAAAAACTTTTGTCTTGTAAATGTGCCATCGGTTTCATATGATTCAAGTATTCCACGATGCCCCAAAAAACACAATGTAGAAACTCTTGGTCGGCGCCGAAATTCTCCTTTAAAAACAACCTTCTGACCAACCATTCCATACCCTCTGGTTCGGCACAAATCGCGATTGTCTAACGATACTTCATCCAAGAAAACGAGTTGTGGATAAAACCAATGAACACAAGACAGTTCTCTGCTAAACTTAATGATTTCAGTTTCACGGATTTGAATAGCTCTGCGCTCCAGCACCTTCCAGGACATTCCATGTGCGTGCAGGATCTTACATATCGAGGAAGCACTAATCGACACGCCGAAATGAGAGGTGAACATTTGTTGTGCTTCGTCTAGGTGCAATATGGGACATCGTTCATACAGATTCAATATCCATTTTCGCTTTGCATGGTTAAATTTCGGGAAAGTTACGTGTCGAGGTCTCTTTCCAAAGTTTCCGTTGCGCTCGTATTCCGATATCCAGGAACTGATGGTCGTTTTGGATTTACCATAGATTACGGCGAGATGTAACCGTTTTATTCCAAGCACGTAGTAATCGTAAAGGCAATGATATTTAGTGTTGCTACTGGCTCTTTTATGCCGAACATTTTCCAAAATCGAAATGTTCATGACTGATTGATTTGACGCAAACTTTGAACATTTGAAATCACCGTAGGGGAATTTACGTATTCTCGTCAATCTAAGCAGCTTCCGCACTTCTATTAGCATTTTCTCAGTGTCACGCACACATATGACGTATCTGTTTGTTTACATTCATCTGCTGCTAGCTATTCTATCCATTCCAATCAACAAAACCGTCCAAAACGGTTTGAACACGTTTTTAAGGCGCTCCAAACTTCTCAGGTGAGTGTGACTATTGTCGGCAGCCTCTTTTACTTCGGCAACCTTTCCGTTTAAACTGCGTGTTAACCAGCTGTTCTATTATCGGCAACTCGAAATCAGCCGTATTTTGATGTGCTTATGTTTCTTTTGAAGAAACACCTAGCATAACAGGTTTGCTCAGTCGTAAAAATGGATTAGGATTGAAGCTGAAAGACCAAGGAATCATTTAAATACATTCAGCGAAGTGTTTTAGTGAGAAAATACATCGAAATTAACGTTTAAATTGTGGTTGCCGAAAACAGTCGATGCTGCCGAAGCCATCATTTACCCTATATTATGCAACATAAACTTGTTTTTAATCGAAAGCTGAATGATTTTGTTTTTTGACGTTTAGGTTTTTGACAATTCGGTTGACAGCGACTACTCATCTAGTGACTACTTGAATAACGAATACTTTAACTATGTACTAGCTTAATGTAGTAGATGCTATTGGGGTACCGCCTGTTATCTCTTTTTCTCTAACGAAAATTGAAAGGGAAAGCCTGCTGTCAAACAACAAGTCATTATGATGTTTACGTTGTTATCTGCACTTCTTTTGTATAATGAAAG